AAAAACCTTCACATGTGGGGTAAAGTTATTCATAAGGTTTAGCATGAGAAACAACCAAGAACTATATACATTGTACTTACTATTTCTATGCGGCATCTCCCCCATAAGGCTCCGCGGAAGTGACGTCATAAAGTGAGCAGCAGGCGACAGCCCTAGAGCGCCGCTCCCTACTCTCATGTCAGACGATGCATTCATACGCGAATGGGCGTCGTGAGCAGAAAATAATCCGGACGAGTAGAGTGATAAGTTGAAGAGGTGGTGAGGAGGGAGCAGAGGAAGAGATCCCAAGCCTAGCCCGGGGTAGACACCCGCGAGGTGAGGCAAGCAGTTGGAGAAGGCAGCTGTAGGCGCCGCATGCTCCATTGGGTACCTCATGCCTGCAAAACCTGAAGTGGGCTGGCGTTCTGTTGCAACTTTCAACTGTTTTCTGTGTTTTGCCCGCCGGTTCTGGAACCAAACCTATTAAAGGAAAGTAAAAAGGAATAATTTTTACTCTTTGGAGATTTAAAAAAAAGATGCTTGGGTTCTTTCTGTGTGTGGGGGTAGGGGGGTTGTTTGTTTTTAAACCTGTGGTTTTGAGTTCATGCATGGGTGAAATAATAAATGAAATGCAGTACGGTGGACCAATAAGGCAACTTATTTAAACAAGAGTAAATTTGAGTCCCTCGTTCGAAATTTACGACCGATGTATGTGATGTGGTGGCTAGTGCTTCGCTGTCGCATGCAGGAGACCCGAGCTTGTTTCCCCAACTGGGGAGACATTTTTAGTGAGTATCTCGATTTTTCTGCTGGCTGTTGTATCGCTCTCGTCCCGGGCTGCCCTGACAAACAGGGTCAAAGCTCGCCTCTTATGATTTAAATTATGCCGATGGGGGCGTAAAAATGCCTACATTAAAAAAAAAAAACTATTTGTTAATAAAAAAAGGATGCTCGGGTTCTTTTTTTCTTTCTCCAAACTCTGATTTAGATAGCATGGATAAAACAATTATGTAGCCCAGTGTGCCGGAACTACTTAGAGGACCTGTTGGGTAAAAGTAAATTTGAGCCCCCCGTTCAGAACTTGCTTGTCCTTCTCTATCTACTTTTTGTCATTTGTCTGTTTGATAGATAGACAATTCTCTTTCAGTGGTGTAGACTTAGATAGATAAATAGATAGATAGATAGATAGATAGATAGATAGATAGATAGATAGATAGATAGATA